GAGAGAGAGTAAATCCTTTGAGTTATGAGTATCTAAAGAAATATTATAAAGGAAAAGAAGTAAAAAATTAAACCTTTTTTTGTTGGAAAAGGTTGGGTATGAAATTTTACCTGATCCAGATTAATATATTGGGTGGAATCCTGGGTCATCGATTTGGTGGATCGGTTATGGGTCTGACTGGGTCATGGAGCAAATTTGACGATTATATCACGCATTTGACGCTCTCACCCATTTTCCTTATCGTTTCCATCCAGATACGAGACCGGGTGCGTCTTTTTTTTTTTTGCTTTCAAGTGTCTTTCTATGTGCTTCACGCGTGATTGCTATTACCTGACACATGTAAGCATTGTGCATTAAATGATGATCTCGTGTGTTTTCAGAGATATGGGTAACAACATAGATACGTGCATATCTAATTTTTGAATGGAGAGAAATTTGAATAGTGTTCTCGCCTAAAAGAACTCATACCTGGTCTGGATCCTTTGATATCTGGACCGGAATGTCGGGACTGTTTTTACCTGTGTGGATTACCTTTTACTAGATCCCAACTTCTCCAGATCACTGAGCTTCTTTGGTCGGGACATAAGGAATGGTAACCTCTCCTCCTCCTGACCACTCAGTTTCTGGCCTCCTCGTCTCTGACACTCTGGCCTACACTGTCAAACCCAAGAACAGGTGGCCTTACGTACCCAATCTATTAGATGCATTGGATCCAATGCTCAGTGCTATATGCTTAAGTTGTTTGGGATGTAGGCCAAGAATGAAACCTAATTTGGCCCAAGGGGGTCATACCTACAAAAACACCATGGATACCATATGCATTCACATAGTCTATCCACGTAAGAATGATCGAATTTATTCCAACGGTAACAATCAAACAATTCAATTTACATCGAACAATATACCTTAACTTTGATATGAGTTACTTACAATTTGGGACAAAATTTTGTTTATAAGATAAAGAATTTTGGAGTTAAGGCACATTTTTATAACTTTATTGGCTATAAAATAATTTGAATATAATTCTTTATTATTATCAATAACAATTAAATTATTTCGATTATTTTTCTTTTCTACATTCCACATATGTTTGTTTATTTATTTTCTTTTATAAGAATCACAATTATTTTGCATTATACAATATTTCTTTAGATTGATATTTATTTTACAATATTTTACTTAAATACTGTTGCAAATATATAGATTGAACACATATATGTCTATATAGTTGCGTATACGCGTACAATATATGCATAGAAAGAACATATGACTATATATCCACCTGTGTATGATACACATGTGCGCATTTAAATGGTACATGTATATGCTGTTATATAGATATGCATGTGTATGTTCGTTACTAAATAGATATGCATTCCTCTTTTGCGAATTTTGTCCAATATTTTAAATACTTACTGATGAATAACTAATCTAAGAATTTTTATTTTTTGTTGGTAAAAAATTGATGAAATGAAGAAAAAAGTGAAGACCAATAAAGGATTTGAAGATAGAGAAGAAGAAAAAGAAAAAAGCAAAAAATAACTATCTTTTCGAAGAGAGATGTAATAATAATAATAAAGCCATAAAGAACGCAAAAATAAACTGTCTTATCTTAAAAGAAAATTAGGTGACAGGA